CACACCCATGCTCAATGCAGCAGCCAAGAAGCAGAAGCAACCCGACTGTCCACTGATGAAGAATGATCAGAATGTGGTTTATACACACAACAGAATATCACGCAGCCTTTATTTTTTCTTTACTTCTCTGTGTTATTCTAGACTATTCAGTGTGGAAAAGAAATTCAGACACATGCTACACCAGAGAAGGACCTTGAGAACATTACGTTAGTGAAATTAGCCAGTTACAAGACAGATGCTTACAATTCCATGTGGTATCTACAGTAGACAAACACTGCAACAGAAAGTGGAATGGTGGCTGCTGGGGGGGAAGAGAAGGGACATGGGAAACTGTTGTTCAAAGGGAACAGAGTTTCTGTTGGGGAAGATGAAAAACCTAGAGATCTGTTTCACAACAATGTGAATGTAGTGCCTCGGCACAGTAGCTCATGCCTCAAATCCCAGGACTTTGGGAGGCTGAGATGGGAGGATCGCCTAAGCCCGGCAGGAGGAATGTTAAACCAGCTTGGGCAATATGGCGAAATCTGTCTCTACCAGAAATACAAAACTTCGCTGGATGTGGTAGCCTATTGTCCCAGCCTCTCAGGAGCCTGAGGTGGGAGGGTTGCTTGAGCCCAGGAGGTTGAAGATGCAGTGAGCCGAGAACATGCCACTGCGCTCCAGCCTAGGGGTCAGAGTAAGACCCCGTCTTAAAACAAAACAAAACGAAACAAAAAAAACCCCAATGTGAATGCAGTTAACACTACTGTATGGTAAACTTAAAAACAGTTCAGATGGGCTAGGCGTGGTGGCTCATGCCTATAATCCCAGCACTTTGGGAGACTGAGGTGGGTGGATCACTTAAGGTCAGGAGTTTGAGACCAGCTTGGCCAAGGTGGTGGAACGCTGTCTCCACTAACAATACAAAAATTAGCTAGGCATGGTGGCGCGTGCCTGTAATCCCAGCTACTCAGGAGGCAGAGGCGGAAGGATCGCTTGAACCTGGGAGTTGGAGGCTGCAGTGAGCTGAGATCACACCACTGCACTCTAGCATCCAAAAAATAAAGGTTAAAATGGTAAATTTTATATTTTTACAAGAGTTAAAAAAATAAGTCTTCAGAAAGCAAGTAAAGCAAGTTCTAAAACAAAGGAGAATGGTCAATAAGGACATAAAAACCTCATTAGTCATCAGAGTGACGAACAGTTAAACTGCAAAATGGCACCATTTTATACATACTGAAGTGTATAAAGTCAAAAAGTCTGACCTAATCCTGGCATGGAACCACAAGGATATTATATGCTTTATTGCTGATTAGAGTATAAGGTTTTCTTTCTTTTTTTTTTTTTTTTGAGACAAGATCTCTTATCACTGAGCCTGGAATGCAGTGGTGTGATCATGGCTCTCTGGAGCTAGAGTATAAAATTTTCAATCATTTGGAGAACCTGGGGAAATTTCCATGACCCAACAATTCTACTCCTCAGTATTCACCTAAGAAAAATGGAAACACTTGCCTGCAAAACAAGAATTTATATGTACAAGAACGTATGGCAGGCCGGGCGTGCTCATGCATATAATCCTAGCTCTTTGGGAGGCCGAGGCAGGAGGATCATCTGTGGTCAGGAGTTCGAGACCAGCCTGGCCAACATGATGAAGCCCCATCTCTACTAAAAATACAAAACGTAGACGGGTGTAGTGGCGGACACCTGTATCCCAGCTACCTAGGAGGCTGAGGCAGGAGCATTGCCTGAATTCAGGAGGCAGAGGTTGCAGTGAGCCAAGAACGTGCCATTATTGCGCTCCAGCCCAGGTGACAGATCGAGTCTCCATCTCAAGAAAAAAAAAAAAAAACAATGTATGGCAGGCACCACTCCACTTTCTGTTTCAGTAAGTTTGGCTGCCTTAGCTACCTCATTGAAATGAACAGTATTTGTCTTTGTGCGACTGGCTCATTTCACTAACATCATGTTCTCAGGGTTCATACTGGTGTGGCATGTGTCCAAATTTCTTTTCAAGGCTGAATAGTCCTAGAATAATACACAGAAGTTTAAAAAAAAAAAAAAAAGGGGGGCTGGACAATGTTTAGATATTTATTCATGATATACAGATACTGAAAACATCCCAAATGCCCATCAACAGAGAATGGCTAAACAAACTAGCCTATTTACCAAAGGGAATATTACTGAACAACATAAAGGGATAACTACTGATACAATCTGTGGATCAATCTCACAGATATTATCTGGAATGAAACAGACCAGTAACTCTAATTCTTAAAATATACATTGCATGATAACCTTTTTTTTTTTATTTTCTTTTTTTTTTTTTTTTTTTTTTTTTTTTTTTTTTTTTTTTTTTTTTTTTTTTTTTTTTCCAGCTGATACTTCTTTTTTTTTTTTTTTGGAGGCAGTCTTGCTCTATCACCCAGGCTACAGTGCAATAGCGAGATCTCGACTCACTGCAACTTCCACCTCCCAGGTTCAACCCATCCTCCCACCTCAGCCCCCCAAGTAGCTGGGACTACAGATGTATGCCACCTTGCCTAGATAACTTTGGTATTTTTAGTAGAGACAGTGTTTTAACATGTTGGCCAGGCTGGTCTTGAACTCCTGGCTTCACATGATCCACCCGCCTCCACCTCCCAACGTGCTGGGATTATAGGAGTGAGCCACCATGACTGGCCCATGATACCATTTACATGAACACAAGAATCGTGAAAGTAACTTATGGAGGCAGGAATCAGAATATGGTTAGCTCTGGGTGAATTTAAGTAAACAGGTCACATAAGAACCTTCTGGGCGATGGAAACGTCATCTATCTTCCCGACGGCTAGTACCTTCCATGCCTTGATCAAATTTGCTGACTGAACTCTCATGATCTGTGCATTTTGTTATATGTAAATTGTGCCATACTACAAGAATATGGAAAAAGCACAACAATAAAATGAGTTTCTGAGGCTTTTATTTTTCTTTTGGACACAAAGTCTCGCTCTGTCGCCAGGCTGGAATGTAGTGGCAAAATCTCGGCTCACTGCAACCTCCACCTCCCAGGATCAAGTTATTCTCCTACCTCAGCCTCCCAAGCAGCTGGGACTACAGGTGCGTGCCACCACACCCAGCTCATTTTTGTATTTTTAGTAGAGATGGGGTTGTACCACGTTGGCCAGGATGGTCTCGATCTCTTGACCTCATGATCTGCCCACCTCAGCCTCCCAAAGTGCTGGGATTACAGGTGTGAGCCACCGTACCCAGCCCTACTGAGGCTTTCTAAAAAATAAGAACACAGATCTTATTGAATTGCTTTATTCTCATGGGTCTGCTTCCCATAATTAAACTGCCTAATTTTATAACTGCCCGAGCGAACTTAATAAGTCCCTGGGAAATCTGTCCCTTTACCTTCTGCTATGAACGTGTGAGAGAGTTTAAAGGCATCTGAAGCTTCTGGGTCCACAGACAGAACATGAGCCCGTGACCAACTGTCCATGTCAGGGATGTTCTTGTACCTCTTCATGTGAACTCCTGGCTGGACAAGGTGTACCAAAGCGAGGACTGTGACAGTTCCACCAAATGGAAACATCCTGAACTGAATGCCAGGCAATACTAATGCATCTCTCACCATCAGCTTAGGAAGCACTTACCCAACTTGGAAAGTTTCAATGCAGTGGTCTTTCTATCTCTAGATAGTTACGTGTATTTTATATATCATAGATAGAATGCAATACAATACAAGGTGCCTGTGTGTCTTCAATACGGTTCTACTGAAATCTTCCAAATCTTTTTACAATATACAAGCTAGATGTTTTGAGAAAAAAGGGAGCCAAAAAGAGATACAGAAGCCAACCTTATATAGTTAATTTGGAAACTATGTGATCATTTCTGAAATCTTTTATAGAATTAGAAACTCGAAGATCACCCCAGGCAAAGGCTTGAGATAGTTTAACTGTGTATTCCACCCACTGCAGCCCCAAAAAGCCAGGCTGAGCTTTCTGTAACAATTCTTCCCTCTCACCGACTTCCCTGCTTGCTAAAGGGCTAGGGGTGGAAAGGCAATTCTATACCAAAGGTCCGTCTGTCCCGAACTCAAGGCTCTAGCCACCTGACACTCCTGCAGGTCTGAATGTGCCCTGAAGGCCTTAGAGGTGAGCTGAGATGCTATCTCCAGCAGGGTAAGGGCTCTCAAAATAAAAGAAAAATGCTTTGGGCCGGGCCGGGCACGGTGGCTCATGCCTATAATCCCTTTGCAGGGCTGAGGCGGGCGGATCTCAAGGTCAAGAGATCGGGACCATCTGGGCAACATGGTGAAACCCCGTCTCTACTAAAAATACAAAAATTAGCCAGGCATGGTGGCGTGCGCCTGTAGTCCCAGCTACTTGGCAGGCTGAGGCAGGAGAATTGTTTGAACCTGGGAGGCTGAGGTTGCAGTGAGCCAAGATCGCACCACTGCACTCCAGCCTGGTGACAGAATAAGATTCTGTCTGAAAAAAAAAAAAAAAGCTTTGGGCCACTCCTAATGTGCTCCCAAACTCCCTCCCCAACCTCCCACCAAAAACAGCCTTTACTAACCTGTGCCCTTGGGAGGCCCCGAGCCCACGTAATCGGAGAGGACTGTGCCACTGCTGATGTCATTGCCCTTCATGTTGACCACCAGGAAATGATGCCATTCTCTGCATGAAGAAACATGGGGCGTTAGCACCACAGGAGTTCAGGGGACATTCACTGCACGGCCAGAAAATGTGCATCGAGAACATGCTGGGTGCCAGGCCACAGCCACGAACAACAGTCCTCACTGTCTTGGCCAGCACAAACCTCATGTGTTTGCAGAAGAGCAGATCCAGCCCCTCCCACCCTCTGAAATTTTCTAAAGCAGAGGTCAGCAAACTTTCTGTAAAAGGCCAGAGAATGTGTTAAGCTCTGGGGAGCCACAGTCTCTGTTGCAACTATTCAACTTGGCCTTGGCAGCATGAAAGCAGCCATAGGCGACACTTAGCTGTGCTCCAATAAGACATAACTGATGAACGCTGACATGGGAATTTTGTATAATTTCCACATGTCACAAAGTTTAATTCTTCTTTCATGGTTTCCTCAATCATTAAAAAATGTAAAAACCAGGCTGGGCATGGTGGCTCACACCTATAATCCTACCACTTTGGGAGACTGAGGTGGGCAGATCATCTGAGGTCAGGATTTCGATCGAGAGCAGCCTGGACGACATGGTGAAACCCCGTCTCTACTAAAAATGCAAAAATTAGCCAGGCATGATAGCATGTGCCTATAATTCCAGCTACTCCGGAGGCTGAGGCAGAAATCGCTTGAACCTGGGAGACAGAGGTTGCAGTGAGCCAAGATTGCGCCACTGCACTCCAGCCTGGGTGACAAAGGGAGACTCTGTCCAAAAAAAAAAAAAAAGAAAAAAAAAAAGAAGTAAAAACCATTCTTAGCTCATGGGGCTCTACAAAAACAGGCCACAGATGGATATGGCTCTCGGCTGTGAATTACAGATGCCCACTATAGGGGGCAAAAGGGCAGGAAATGTACTCTCTGGCTTAAAAATGGGTGGGGCCATCCCAAACCGGTTCTGCTTCTCCATGTCCAGCAAGGGGATTATATTTGGTAAGTCATGTCTGCATGACCTGCTGTTCCCCATCTTTCCCAGCTCTCACCTGTACTTGGGATCCTTCCTGCTGGGAGCATCCGGGTCTGTCAGGACCAAGGTGTAGAGCTTCCCTGAATCAAGACCATCCCACGAAATGCTGGTGGGTCTGTTCTTGACCTGTATGAAAGAACCAGTTTGGAGTTAAAAAGTCAGAAATGCTGAAGAAACTGGTTGGGCACAGTGGCTCACGCCTGTAATCCCAGCAGCTGGGAGGCTGAGGCGAGAGGCTCACTTGAGGTCAGGGGTTCGAGACCAGCCTGGCCAACATGGTGAAACCCATCTCTACTAAAATACAAAAATTAGCTAGACATGGTGGTGGACACCTGTAATCCCAGCTACTTGGGAAGATGAGGTGAGAGGACTGCTTGAGCTGGGGAGGCAGATGCTGCAATGAGCCAAAACTGCCCCACTGAACTCCAGCCTGGGTGACAGAGTGAGACTCTGTCTCAAAAGAAAAGAGAAATGCTGAAGAAACCAGTACTCTTTCTTTGATCTGAGACTCTTCAAAGAGAAAACAGAATAGATTTTTAATAAAATCAATGACTCTGTAGTTTTATATACATCACTTATTTTATTTATAATCTTTTTTTTGAGACCAGGTCTCATCCTGTCACCCAGGCTGGAGTGCAGTGACGCTATCAAGGTTCACTGCAGCCACTCCTCCCACTTCAGCCTCCTGAGCAGCTGCAAACTACAGGCCCACACCATCACGCCTGGCCAATTTTTTTTTTTTGTAGCGTTGGGATCTTGCTATGTTGCCCAGGCTGTTATTATTTCAGTCCCAACAACACCATGGGGCTCGTATCCCAGCACACTATGCACAGAAACAAATGCGGCCGGGATTCCAACCCTGGCACCGAGTCCCTCTCTCAACGACACGCGTACACTGTCTGTCTGAAATGACAACGTTTCTGGATTTGGTGATCAGGAGGTTACCTGGGGCCTGCTAAAGTGAAATCTGCATTAACTAGATGTTTCAAAGTGCACAGAAAAGGAGAAAGCCGAGGTGAGCAGGGAAAAGGGAGGCTGTGGGAGCCGCGGTGGCTCCGGCCAGTTGTCCTGGCGCTTGAGATGAGGCCATGCGTTCAAGGCCAACCTAGGCAATAAATAACCTCTCATTCATTTAAAAAAAAAAAAAAAAAAAGGTAGGCTGTGTCAGACGGGCACTTCATATTTAAACATCCAAAGCAATTTAAATTCTGTGAACATCCAAAACAATGTAAGGTCAAGGCAGTTCATTTTACACTGTTGCCCGGAGCTTCATCACGAGCTAGCAGTGGTGTCTGCAAATCTAGTTTCTTCACTTTCAGCCGTGGGCGTGGGAGGTCAAACAGCAAAACTAAACCGTTGCCCTCCAGCGTTCCGGCAGCACGCTCCGGACCGATTGAACAAAGGAGAAATGGGCCGGCGTGCCCATCACCAGTTACATAATGCGCCACAGGCTCTCGGGTGGGGCTTCTGCCCTCCAACACAAGGCCTAAAATACTGAGGCTCCAGGAGAGGGTCTAGGGGCGTGGGGGCGGCCACAGCCTACCCCGTCCCGGGGACGTCCCTCCCCAGGGCCCTGCCCCGGGGGGTCCGGGCTGTCTCCGGACCTAGGCCCCTCTTGGGCCCAAAACCCGGGAAAAGTGAATCCATCGCTGCCGCAGGACAAGCCTGCCTGGCAACGCCACAGGCCGGGTTCCCCGTGCTCGGAATGGCCCCCAGGCATGGGACATGGACCCTGGGACCCTCGCCCTGGGGGGCCTCGACGCACGCAGGCTGAACCTCCCCACTGCCCCTAGCCCTGTCTCCTCCAGGTCCGATCCAGGCGGTCCGCACAGGACTCCGCGCCAGGCCGCTGGCTGCAGCCCGCCGCCCGGGGTACCTGGGTGGGCGTCAGCACTTTGCCCAGCTCGTCCACCGCCGCCCCGCCGTAGGTGACATGCAGCGGGTGCTGCGGCTGCTCGTCCACTTCCTGCAGGCTCAAGGGCCCGGACCACTTGCTGAGGTCCACCGGCATGGCGGGGCCGAGCAGAACGTGTAGCCGAGAGTGCTGCGGCAGGGCAGGTGCGGGCGGTAACGGCGACACGGAGGCCTCCACACACTGGCCCGGGAAGGCGGGACCCAAGGACACGCGAGCTCACGCGCCGCCGCCGCCTAGCTCCGCCCACCGCCCTCTGCCCTCTGATTGGCCGACGCCGGCCGAGCAAGGCCGCTGCTGCTCCGGAGTCCTTGCAAAGTGCTCCGAGTGGCTGCCGAGTTCTCGCGAACTCGGCCTGCAAGGCTGCGGTTTCAAGAAGTGAAAATGAAGGGCGCCCTGGCACGGGTTCGCCTGGGAGAGAGGCTCGTGCTTTAGAAAGTGTCTTAGGAAAAAAAAAATGCAATTGAGTTCGTCTTGGTTGCAATTTTGGTTTTCCGAGTTTTCTGCGTTATTCTGTAGTCCACCTTCCAAATTCAGATATGTAGCTTGGCGCGGTGGCTCGCGCCTGTATTCCCAGCACTTTGGGAGGCCAAAGCAGAAGGATCGCTTGACCCCAGGAGTTTGAGACCATCCTGGACAACGTAGCAAGACCCCGACTTTGCAGGAAACTTGAAAAAAA